AGGTCTGAAGGACACAGAGACCAGCTGCTTCCTGTTTCCTGCTCCACGTTAAAGAACTTCATGATATAGGCTCTATTTTATTGCAAAGCCCTTCCGGTTCTTTCAAACCAGGAACTCACAAAGACAAAGCAGACCACTTAAATTTTATAAAAAAATAACCGTACTGGTTTATTCAGAGGATCACAGGTAAAATTAACATTACACGTCCAGATCTCTCCCACCACCAACCTGCGCGCAGGCAGCTTGGAAGATGAAAGACCCTGAACCAACAAAACCTATACAATATAATCACTTTGGGCTAGCCCCATACTACGCAGGGACGCCAATACCCAGGCACGTCAAACCGTGACGTCACCTGATATGCCAGCTTGCAGCTGACCATAACAATAGTCAAAACATGAGGAAAAGTCAAGGTGTGTGGCTGTTGATTAGTGGTGTGTATCTAAGAACGATTTGACATGACATTTCACATTAAGACAAATATTAAGATTAGCATTGCAGTTAATAATAATCATCCCTGCCTGCAGCCTTTGTCTGATTTAATTAGCCTTGGCCTAGATGCAGTCTGCAAGCACATCAGAATAACTAAACATTTCTAGACAACAAATCTCTAAATATCTAACTAAGAAATTGCCCAACAATGAGAAACTGGGCTTCTCCTCGTGTCGACACAACACACAGACTCATCACATCCACTGACTCTGTTACATCAGAGGTCGTGTGTATGAGAATAAATCCTTTAGAGCTGCTGGAAAACAAATCCCCTCCATCCTCCTACAGTCACTCAGTAAATAAATACCTCGGTTTGTACAGTGTATTAAGTTTTTAAACTAAGTTGAAAGTGTTTGAGTTTTCTGCTTTTTGGAAATGAAAAAAGCCATTTTAAAGACCATTTGCAAACAAATTTTACACTATAATAAAACACAAAGTTTACATTAACAAATCTGTACATATTGCTCTTCAGGGTGGAGGCTGTTTTCTCTGATGCGATGAATTGTGTGAGGACGTTGATCCAGTGATTGATCTGTAGCCATTTATGACCATGAACGCCTCATCACATCCTGCAGGAGTCAAGTGAGGGAGATGAAACTTAAAGTCATAATTATCCATCCATCCATTATCTGTACCGCTTATTCCTGGAGCAAAGGTCAGTTGGGATCGGACAAGAGGCGGGGTCCACCCTGTACAGGTCACCAGTCTATTACAGGGCACAGAGAAAACATGCAAACTTCACACAGAAAGGCCCTGGGTCGGCCGGGGCTCGAACCTGGAACCTTCTTGCTGTAATGCGACCGCACTAAACACTGTTCCACTGTACCTCCCCGTGTCATAATTAATGAGGACAAATTAATCACATACTGCTTAAATAACGAAGGTAAAACTAGACAGGTTATAAATATGTCCACCTGATCTCAGTAAAGTGAACACTGCACATTTCACGTATAAGAAGTAACAGAGTTTAACGAAAATAATGTACTGTAAGGAACAATAATCAACACAGCTTCCTCCACTGAGTCGATATTTTCTGTCCCTGGTTTACAAGTGAATTCAGTCTCATTTACACTGTTGACCAAACCGTTCCCACTGATCCACCACTGGACTCTGGGTAGAAATCTTGTTTTCCAGTCCAACACTTAAAGAATATAAAGCAACAAACAGTCAGTAGAGCTGCTGCTGTCAGTCCGACTCCACAGTAGAGGCTGATCCTTCCTCGACCTGCTGAGTCTGGTCTCTCGGGTTCAGGTCGGTCCCTGCTGTAAAGAGACCAAACAATCTGTGTCAGTGAAGACAAAACATTTCTGTAAGAAGTGAGTCAGTTTAGTTCTGTCAGAGCAGGAAGGCCTGTGGGAGACAAAGGGAAACATGAATATGATCATGATTCAGGGGTTTGTTGGACCCACAGCTGAACTGTTTGCTCACCTGTAACGTGTGTCGTGTCCTCTGGACCCAGGGTTTGGTGATCCCTGGGCTGCAGCGGCGTCTCGCTTGGTGACATTTTAACAAACTTTGGATCTAGAATAATACAAGATTCCCAATGAGTTAGAACATTCATTTAAAAAAACTACAGTAACAGGACAAGAGCAACATGAGTTTGACAAAATAACCTCCAAATTTAAAAAATATACAATTTTTACAAATCATTCAGTTTAGGAAACATCAAAAAACTGTCATCGAGCTGAAGGTGATGACTTCAAATGTCGTCTTAAGCCTTTACTGTGTAAGCCAGTGACTGAACTAAACCTTTAATCTGGTTCTGAAAGAAAAGTAAATTTTCATGTTTTATGTACAAACAAATATTCTGATTCCAACTTTAGACGTGATCATTTACTGTGAGTCAGTTTAGTTCTGTCAGAGCAGGAAGGCCTGTGGTTTAAGTCCTCAGCTCTTCTCTTCTCAGTCTTATTGATCAAACAGCTGCTGAAATAAATCTGGTAGCAAAATTTTACTTACCTGTGACGTTGAGGTCACAGCTGTCAGAGCTCCCATCGTTACCTGTGGTGACTTCACACAGGTAGAGTCCTGAGTCATTAGTCCTGAGTCTGGACACATGGAGTCTGAGTCGTCCTTCTCTGAGGACGTCTGTGTCCCACTGGACTCGTCCTGAAAACTGTTTATCCTGAGACTCTGGGACCTCGACGCCCTCATGGAGATGGAACAGGACTGACTCTTTGTCAACAGTTAACAGACTACAGTAGATAGAAAGAGAGAGAGTCAGAGGAGCTGTGAGCTGTGGTTGTGAACGTCCACTCCAGTGTGACGTCTTCGTTCTCCTCTGCCTGATAGGAGCTCTGTGTCACATTCACTACACATGTTCCTGTTGAGGAGACACACAGGGAAAGTGAGGACCACACTGACTGACAACCTGGATCATTTCTTCTCACTTAGTGGATAATAAACTGACCCCAGACAGAGGAGACCAGGCTGCTGAGCATCAGGATGCAGCAGATCATCTGGTCCTGTGAGAGGAGACACAGGTGAAGAGTCAGAAACACAGGAGGTCACAGTTCCAGGTGGAAGAAGGAAACTCTCCAGTCTGACTTCATTCAGTCATGACAACACCTGATCCTGTGTACGAGTGTACTGGACATAATGGTTTTCATGTAAGATCATCAGGAACAAATCGCGTTTCTGTGTAGTCTATCAATCTCGCTGCAGAGAGGGAAGGACAAACTCAGGCAGTCTGGTCAGTTGTGACAGATTCCATCAGAAACATAAAATAAACAGGAGTTGTGCGCGTTCACGAGCTGTTCTCTCGGTTTCGGGTAAAGTTTTATCATTCTGAAATAATTACAGACTATTTGGAGTTATAACGGGTGCCAAAGTAATCTAGAGGTATCCAAGATTAAACATTAAATGGCTGGAAACGGGCAAAGCGAGCAGCCATGGGGACTTTAAACTGCTCTACTTCCTGGTGTTTTACAGCTTATAAACCCGCTCTCAGATATCAGAGAGGAAGGAAACGCATCATCCATATCCATATATAGCGCGCGCTCTCTCTCTCTCTCTCTCTCTCTCTCTCTAAATTCAACACTACACATTTCACGTATAAGAAGTGACAGTTTAACAAAAATAATGTACTGTAAGGAACAATAATCAACACAGCTTCCTCCAGAGCTTCACAGAGAACAGAACTTAGTTGGGTCCAG